CGGACGGTAGGATGTAAGGACGGTAGGATGTAAGGACGGTAGGATGTAAGGATTACTACTTCTTTCATTGTCTGCCCTATTGCTACAAGTGGCTTTAAATCCTTTTCTTTTCGTCATCCCCCAGCAAACTGTTTGCTCTACAGGTTCTTTATTTGCCCCTTGCAGCCCCTAGCTGCAGTTTGTCCCCTTTCCATCATGGCTTCTTCATGTGGTCAGTGGTTTTTAGCTGCACTGCTCTTGGAATTGAGCAGCTGTCCCACTCTAAACCCAACCTGCCTTGAATGTAGCCGGTTTAATTTTTTTTGTATTAGTCATGCACTGAGTTGGTTGATAAACCTGTGACCTGTGGTCTTATGCATGGAAATATACAAGCAAAACCGACTAATTTCACTACATTACAAATGATCAGTGCGTCTCGCGATCCCTTCCTTGGACACTCCCTTTCCGATGTATTGAGGAATAAGTCACGTGTGCTGGTGATGTTACCTCTTTTGCTGTCGGGTAATACCCAACATTCACACAGAGGACGTACGATCCCAAAAGTCGAGCATCCGGTTGTGACCGAGACTTTAAAGAATTTCCTTCACGGTTTTAAAATGCTGAAAAATAATAATTATCTTAGACACCGTGCAGCTACTGAGAGGTGAATGTGGATGATCTGATGTCCAGGGGTAGGGTTAGGGATGTGTTCACTGCTGCTGTATCCTGTGTGATCTCATCCTGTCACTGTCTCCATCCTTCGCGACTCAGGTAATGAAATGAAATGAAATGAAAAATACTTTATTTATCCCAGAAGGGAAATTCAATTAATATTCACATCATGCTCTGTTCTTACATACTGACTTGACTGAACTTTCTGAAAATACTTATTCAGTTCTGTTTCAGTGAGTGAACTATGTTTCTGATTAATATGAAGCATAAACACAACACAGGGCATGGCTCATCGGCTCTGTCCGATGGGTTTCCATATGATTCCAAACCGACTCGGAGATTGACCAGAACTTTAATGATGACTACTATTCATGTAAACTCAGAACTTGCTCTATGCCTACTGGAGCAGTCAGCTGTTTACCTGTTCTTCAGGTGTTACTCGAACACTGACATTTATCAGACACACAGTGAGATTGCATTTTAATCCCAGGTAGCATGGTGGGTTGTTAACTCAAAGGTTACTGTCCTCTGTAGGGCAGTTTGGTCATTTTCATTCACCTTTGCTTGATCACATTGATTTCACTGAATGGTCACCTCTGCTTTCCAGGATCATCCTCATTGCTGCCCAGTGCATCCCCAGTGTGGCCACTGAGCAGCTCCAGTGCAGCTGTGGGTCCCACTGCCTTGCTCCAGGGTATCAGGTGGGGTTCAAACCAAGCTGCTAATGCTGCTTTTTCACTTTATCACACAGACTGTATTCTGCAGGTCCAGGGATCACACTAGTGACCTTCTGGGCACAAGCTAGCTTTCGCTAATTAAACACCGAATTCAAGAACAAACTTAATTTACAGATATTTCTATCTGGGGTTCAAACAACAACCCATGTCACGGTTTACAAATCCGGCTGGACTCTCGTTTTAGGGGGAAAAAAATCTAATTCAACAAAAAATGAACACATAAAGAAAGTAACCCTGGCATGTATATATGCATGTGTTCCCACTGCCACATGTCTACAACAGCCTGTGCTGTGACTCAATAATCAGAAAATAAACATATATGCTGGCTAGTAAGACCTTCCTCATTACACTTTGATAATGAAAAGGACAAACATGTTGGACTTACAGTGTGGAAAGGGTTGTTGCAGCCGCTGCAGAACTGGTAGCGACACTGTGAGCAGCAGAAATGCATGCAGCCTCCTTTAGACAGCGCATACTGAAAGCGACAGTTAGGACAGGCTGCAGAGATGGAGGAGAAGAGGAATGACAAGCATGATGTGAACGGTGGGAAAGCAGAGAGAGGAGGAAGGAATTGTCACCACAGTAAGGAACATTAGTTCAGTCAATGCACAAACAAGCAGACATATCTAGAAATGATTTATTCACTGAACTGATGTATTGTGCCTCCTGTGGGAGGGTCCAGCTGAAGGCCGGCGACTCACTGGACGGCCTGAGTGACGCTGTGGCCTCAGCACATGTGCTCTGACTTCACCTCCTGGATCAAATCGTAACCATGGTTACACCTGTAACCATGGAACTGTTCTGTTGATCCACCTCTTAGGGGAAAAAATAGGTAAATGGTCTTTTTTTTTTTTTTTTTTTGAAAAAGGACACAAAAAATAAAGAGTTGCTAGAAAGAAATCTGGGTAAATAAATAACTGGGTGGCGGTATCTCCATACGCTGTCGTGGACAGTCTACTAAAGGAAAAACTTCGTTCTCAATTCTTAGTTATTTTATTTAAAGGATTATGAAACAGATTAATAAAGTGAAACTCACTATCTGTTTTTCATTTTCTTCTTTATAAAGCCCAACATAAATTAGATTTCTATCTCCAATCTACATTTTATTTTGTTCATTTCATTAAACTTACATTTTTTAAACTTCAACATACTCTCCATGTTTTGTTTTTGGTTGACTCCTAATTCCAGAAGAGCGTAGGTTAATGACCTTCATATTTCACTGGACCCACCCGTCCAGGCTCAACAGGGCCTGACGTCAGTGGACTAGCTAACAGACCGATGGATCTGAGGAGCAGCACCATCGTGCCAAACTGGCAAAACAATAAAATCAGTGTTCTGGACATGGCAGGAGCTGCATGTTGGCTGCAGCTGAGAGTTAAACCCGCTGATACAGAACAGGTTTTACAGAACTTAACACCTAATTTAAATGAAGAATCTGTTCTCTGCCATTTTCATTATTGTGCTGAAAAAGTGTGTAGTCACTCATCCAGTAAGGCCGTCCTTTACTTTAGGTGATCAGATGCTTGATGTGGCGCTGCTCTATGCCTGCAGCTCAGTGACAGGTCCACATGAAACAAGTACAACCACACACTTTTCTAAAATACTAGAGTTAACAAAAAAGAAGTCAATAAAAATCAGTGAGGTGACATTTTAGTGATGTCTTGTCATGCCCTGGGAGTTTCCCAGTCAATGTAAATGTGCTTCATCAGACCAGAGTGGGCTGCAAGAAGTCCTGCTGTCCACCGGCCAGCTCATCACATGTTAGTGCACCGAACTGAAGCTTCTCGGAAACAGGACAGAGACGTGTGTGTGGACGTGTTTAAAACCATATAAGTACATGGAATTCTGAGAATTTCTGAAGTTTTAAGAAAGTCTTGAGAAAGTGGAGCTCGTTTCCTACTTTAGGATGAGACACCATCAGGTATAAGTGAATGAAGAGAGCAGCAGCGTAGCTCAGTGAAGCTGGATGCTGCCTGCAGCCGTCAGGTTCTGAGGCTGAAGGCTTCAAACTGTCCCACGGCCACGCAGCCCTAAAGTCATGAGGTTGGCCTCGTTTACCTGCAGCAGCTTCTGCAGAGTCCACAGAGAAAACCCTAAAATCAGCTAATTAAACTAAATCATAATGAAGCCGAGGAACCAGTGGGACGGCCACGAACCACTGCTG